CTACAGGGACCACTATTTACTTGACTCTTCCTTAGATTCTATCTCTGCTCACTTCTTTCCAGTGTGTTACATTGACATATGAAGACAAATATATAACTCATGAAACTTGTTTGATTTCAGAATTTTTGTTCCAGAGATGATACAGTGTTTTGTGGTGTATTCGATGGACATGGACCGTTTGGTCATATGGTTGCGAAGAAAGTCCGAGATACATTGCCTTTCACACTCTCAACACAATTGAAAATGAGCTCAGAATCGGAACAAAGCGGGTTAGTGAATGAGAATGGTCTTCAAATCAAATGTACAGAGGAAGAAGACGCGCAGAGAAGTGAGTCTGTTGCTACTATGGATGAGCAATGGTGTGAGTTAAATCCAAATGAGAACAGCGATGAACTTCCGGAGATGTATCTGCCTCTCAAACACGCATTGCTTAAGTCTTGTCAGCAGATCGATAAAGAGCTTAAAATGCATCCAACTATTGATTGTTTCTGCAGCGGAACAACTTCTGTCACTTTGATCAAACAGGTACTTGCTTTGATTTGCTTCTAATCTCATCGATTGTATATTAATCACTTTAAATTGTTCTGACTGATTCCTATTAGGGTGAGGATCTGGTGGTTGGAAATATTGGTGACTCGAGAGCCGTTCTTGCCACAAGAGACGAAGACAATGCTTTGGCCGCGGTACAATTGACCATAGACTTAAAACCCGATTTGCCAAGTATGCCATGAGAACTTGATCTTAAACTCTCTGAGAAGCCAGAGGGAAATTTTCTTAACGTTTTTTTTCTATGTACGTTCAGGTGAATCAGCGAGGATCCAAAAATGTAAAGGTAGAGTCTTTGCATTGCAAGACGAGCCTGAAGTAGCTCGTGTATGGTTACCAAACAGCGATTCACCTGGTTTAGCTATGGCTCGAGCTTTTGGGGACTTTTGTCTCAAAGATTACGGTTTAATATCAGTTCCAGATATCAACTACCGTCGCCTAACAGATCGAGATCAGTTCATTATTCTCGCTAGCGACGGGGTAAACTAAACCTTCCGTTTCTTGCCAATAAATTGCATTTTTTTCTTCCAAATCTTTAGAGCTAAAAAGGTTTGTTACTGAATTGTATTAAAGGTATGGGATGTGTTATCAAACAAAGAAGCTGTTGACATCATTGCTTCAGCTCCTAGTCAAAGCACAGCGGCTCGAGCTCTAGTGGACACAGCTGTTCGAGCATGGAGAATCAAATATCCAACTTCCAAAAACGACGATTGTACTGTAGTCTGCCTCTTTCTACAAGGTTCATCAGTATCCATGGAAGTTTCAAGCAATGTAATAAAAGATTCACACAAAGAAGACTCCATAGAGAGTGTCAGTATCAGTAACAAGGAAGAAGAGGGTGAGATTGTCGTGGTTAAAGACGATAATACGCCTAAGAGTTGCGGGATTGAGTCGAAGATTATGACAATGACACTCGCGGAATGTATTTCAGTTGCACAAGATGATGAAGAATGGTCTGCTTTGGAAGGATTGACAAGAGTTAATAGTCTCTTGAGCATTCCAAGGTTCTTCTCTGGTGAGCTTAGATCAAGTAGTTGGAGAAAATGGTTGTGACTGACTTTTTTGTTTTTGGACTTGTGTGAATTCTCTATAAGTTAAAAACAAACAGAAACACTTCACATCACAATGTTCTTTGTATTTATATCAAACTTTTGATTTTCTTTTCATGGAACTTTCTTGCAGATAAATAATGTGTTTTTGTCAATTAATTTCTATAACGGTTTTGGTTTTATCCATTTTTTTTGTTTTTTTTGAACAAGGGCTTACTTGGTTAATCATATTTCTCGACACTAAATTGAGTAAACTATCCTCTCCTCCGACCATATATCTTAATTTAGTTCATGATTGTTTTTAAATTTAGCTCACGCCACAAATAGACTATCTAATAAATAAGTATAAATACTGCACGTTGATGATCCTATTATTCCATACCCAATTATCTTTGACAAAAATATTACTCCATAGCCAATGAAATAACAGAAAAAAATGAAGTGTATCATAGTTTTTGTGTTAGTTATTGCTGCTATGTATGTTGGGTTGAATGAAGCTTGCGCGGTAAATCGTATAATAATTCAAAACGAGCTCGGTCCTAATACCACTCTCCAATATCATTGCCGTGGTTGGAATGGACAGGATACAGGAGTCGATACTTTAAAGACCTTCGGTGGTAGATACACCATTGAGTTGGCAGATGTTACTAACAGAAGAGAAAGGACAAGATGGGAATGCGACTTACGTTGGGGGCCTGCAAAAGAGTATCATTTTGATCGTCTTGAAGTATATCGAGCAGCCCGTAGCCGTCGATGTGGTCAGCTACGTCACTGGAGTGCCAGAAAAGATGGAATTTACTTTAGAAAAGATTATAACCTACCGTTGGGCCATGTACGTCAATGGGAATGATAATTTCCCTAAAACTTTGTAAGTTGGTTTTGTTTGGTTCGAGTCTTATGAACTAATCCATGACACCTACTAGAGTAAAAC